CTAATTCTTTTATTCTATTTAGGGGTTCATATATATATATATATATATATATATATATATATATATATATATATATGTATATATGTATATGTATATGTATATATACATGTATATATATATACATGTATATATGTATGTATATATGTATATATATGTGTATATATATTTATATTATTTCTTTAAAAAAGTAATAAAACACTGACAAAATAAAGGAGAAGCTACCAGATTATAAGTTATCAACTTGTATGAAATATCTGTAAATTTGTTATTTGTATTGGGTACATAGAAATTAAAGAAAAAACAAGCACTGAACTTTCAATAGAACATTATACAAATGAAATGCATACCTTGTGTATATCATGGCATCACCACCCCACTTTACACAGGTAACAGCCAGAGTGTGACCAAAGAGACAAACAACACACTTGCTCAAAGAAATATCCCAAATACGTGCATCCCCATCCTTGCTGGAACTAACTAAACGGCGACAAGGAGCTTGCAAATGTACAGGCTCCCAGGAAATACCAGTAATCGATTTCTTGTGGCCCTGCTATTTTATAATGCACCCAAAATATATATTGTCACAAGGCACATGATGATGAATGCACATTAGAATGTCAAGTTAACTGCCCAAAGTTGATATTATAAAACATTAACAAGTAAAAATAGGATTTTAACAAAAACAGAATATTTTAAAGGATAGTAAGCTGAGACAAACAACAAAATGGAGAAAATTGGTTTTGAGCCTATACCAGTGGAATATTTGGATATGACCTTCTAAGAGATCATACATGAGGCTTCTTGAGCATCGGTCAATGCATATGACTTTCCAAAAGACTGCAGTTGAGTTGTATACTAACCAAAGTTCGTCTTATGGGTCTGTACCAATATACCGACTGGCCGATGGTACAACATGTACCATTCGGCACCGATGTATCATGTGTCAATACGGTGAGGCATACTGATATGTAAAATGCATAAGGCATATTTTCCTCCTAATAAACGAAAAAAGGAAACAAGTGAATTTCTTTACCAGAGGATCCATGACTAATCAAAATTTTTCAAAGACAACTACAAAACAAAGAAAAAGAAAGTAAATCAAGACTATCAAGTAATATAATCAAAAGCAAAAAAAGACAGGATATCTTTGAGATTACATTCTTCAGCAGTTTGTTGACTATTTCCTGGAGCTGTGGTGGTCCAGCATTCTGTGGGAGATAGAGAGGGCACCAAGGGGCTCCCCTTCAGGGTCAGTCAAAAGGCACATCCCGCTATTACTACTGCTTATTTCTCTCACTTCGTCTGAAACCTCCATCTCTACCTGGAAAACTCCCAGTATAACAGAACCCTAACCTGAAAGAAGAAAGAAGACAATATATCCTAAATTACAATACAATGAAGTCCAACAAGATTCTCTCTTGTCCAAGATGAACAAATGAAAAATAAGCAGACTTTTCTTGTAAGTGTTCGTCTGATAAATTTATGATGGGGTGGCATTATCCAATTAATAGAAAAACAACATTACAAGTGGATACAAACAATACCAAATCAAAATAAACATAAAGTCGAAATCAAACAAATCATTACAAAGAAAATTAAGAAATCACTCAAGGATACTGGACATCCAAAAGCTAAGACATAACTCTATTCACTTTGTTTTGGTAGTCATGGCACAAGAGCTATATTTATAGGATTGAGATGTACGTACATCTAAACTAGAAACAGTTAATAGACTAAGAAAGAAAAGAAAATAAAGGAGAAAACTAGAGGCAGTTAATAATTAAGAAATTATAATTATTGTACTAAATTGAAAAACAAAACCAATTAACATTTCTTATCGCCGATCGCCATCTCATCTTAAGCATGTAGCAGGTGTCAGCACGGCTATTTGACATGTGCCCTTTCCTTTTGGATATCGTAGCAGCAGACTGTAATCAAGGCAGAGGTTTCTCTCTCGCTTGTCCACTCTGATACAAACCTTATGCAAGGGTTCAAAATCTACAACATACCTCAAACGACGAAGGGCAATTAAAATCATAATCAGAGGAGAATAAAAATATGACAAAATTCTTAAATGAGAATAAGAGAATAAACTAAAGACGATCATATTTCACAACTCGAATAATCTCTATAAAAGCAAGCAAAAAAACCAAAAGAAAGTGATGAAGCAAGAACCTTTATGATTGGAAGAGATTGAGAAGAGTGTTTGCCTAGTAGCAAAGCCCCTTTCCTCGTGTAGAAGGTAGAGGAGGTGGTGGTGGTGGTGGCACGCGTCGACGGAGCGAGGGAGGTGATGGTGGAGGCATGGGTGGTGACGGAAGACATCCGAGGGGTTTAGGGGTTCGATGAGCACCTTCGGCCGGTGGATCCGCGCTGCAATTGCACCTCTTAACGGGTCCGCTTGGTGGAGCTCCGGTAGGAAAAAGATACCAGATGAGTGCAATTTCTGACCCGAATCCGAACTGTGAACTCAGTCTTGCGGTTTGGTTGATCAATCCGACCCGATCCGTCTTCCCCCTGATTAACAATAATAATGATATCGTTGCTATCATTAACAATAATAATAATAATAAAATGAGAAGAAAAGAGTTGAAAGAGTTTGTTGGAATTAAGTTAGGATATTTATATAATTAAGAATATTAAAAAAAAAAAATAATATAGGAAACATATTTACCAATAAAAATCTCTCATATATATCAACAGACAAAAAAAGAGAGTAACAGAGGAATTAACTAGTCATGATATTTTTATCATCTTAAGAAGTCAATATTAAATAATAAAATTACAAAATGGAAAAAATGATGGCTCTTAATTGCATTGTGCAGTAAAAAAACAATGGAATCGCCTGGTTACTGAAGCGTGCAGCGCACGTGTTTCCTTCGTGAGTTGTCACGAAAAAAATATCGGACACAGAAAATAATAATAATAATAATAATAATAATAATAATAAAACCACAAAAATAAGAGGAGCACAGAGAAAGCCGGCATAAGACCCCCTAATTTCCCAAAACGAAGCGAAAACGAAAACGAACTTGCGGAGAGAGAAGCGAGAGAGATGGGTAGCACGATTCTTTCGCTTGCATCCCATCTGCAACCCTCTTGCTGCTGTAGGCGACGCCGCCTCCGCCCACCAAACCACTGGGGCGATGTCGCGCGGATCAGCGCCGCGCCGTCCTTCTTCTGTAGCTCCATCACCTCTCCGAAGCCTTCCAGCAGGCATCGCCTCATCTGCTCCGCCCTCCTCCAAGACGATGCCCCGCAAGGGGGGCAGCAGCAGCAACAGCAACAGCAACAGCAGCAGCAGGATCCGCCCACGCAGCTCCCCGCTGGCGTCGGCGCCGCGGTCGAAGAAAGGCCCGGTACCCTCTCGAGCATTTTCTACTTTTTTGTTGCCTTTTTATTCTTGTTATGATATTTCGACAATTTCTTTCGTTTTCTTCATTCTGTTGGTTCCAAGATGAGGTTTTTTTCTCGGAATTGCTTCCAAGTTTGCATCTTTTCGTGTTTTCGAAGAACAGT